CCTCTGGGAAAGTGGCCGGAAAGGCACCTGAATGGTATCTGGGGGGGCACCCACCCTTTGTCTGTCACTATTGTATGGGGTCCTGTCTCGTCTGTAAATTTGTCAGTTCTATTAGACTCCTGCTAGCAGACATACACTGGTTTAGGCCATCTTCCCTCAAGATAGGAGATATTTTACAGTGGTTGACAAACCACTGGATGCAGGGAACTTGTATTGATTATACCCCTGCAGAGATTACTCTCTTCTCCTTCTTTCTCATCTTCTTCAATCACTGAGGCCTCACTCTTTCTTCCTTTGCCATGTGGCAGATAGTCTTAACTTTAGATGTCTTTATTTTCTTCCTTGTTATGATTATTGTGGCCTGTAAATTCTCCCAGCCACTGGAGTATTCCCAGTGGAATACTCCACTGGGAAAAGAGTATTTTTGCCCGTGCTGGGTCTGAGTTCATGTTGGGAAGGCAGTTGTGCCCTCGACACCTTGGAAGTAATTTAAGGTTGTAAAAAACAAAGTCCTAGATGAGGGTCTACGAGTGCTCTTTGTCAGGCTGGGACGGAGAACTAGTAACTGCCTATTCTGTCAGAAAAGTGTCCAATGTTGTTATGGGCAGTGCCCGGTAGTGCATCATAGGGAGGCATACTGGCATCATCCCAATTGTTGGGAATTCGGGTGTCATAAACCACTAAAGACAGATTGGCAACTCTTTTGCTCACTCTATGAATTGTGGTGGATTCAGAATACACACCCAGTTGATCTATTAGTTCCTCTCTTTTGCCATATCCCCACTTTTCCACAGGGCTTGGATAGGAGAGCCTATAATCGAGAGGATTATGCCCATGCAGCACTAAACCTCCATAGAGTTTATGCTGGCCACTTGTGGTTTGCAAGGGAGAGAGCGAGCCACCTTACCCTGGCCCTTACCCCCTGTTCCTTTGACTAGGACTAGAGACAGACCCACCAATTTAATTGTCTAGTCCTTGCGGGACCTAGCTGCAAAAGCTCTGCTAAAACCTGCTATAAAAAGGTCAGAATTTGCCGGGCGCGGTGGCTCAAGCCTGTAATCCCAGCACTTTGGGAGGCCGAGGCGGGTGGATCACGAGGTCAAGAGATCGAGACCATCCTGGTCAACATGGTGAAACCCCATCTCTACTAAAAATACAGAAAAATTAGCTGGGCATGGTGGCACGTGCCTGTAATCTCAGCTACTCAGGAGGCTGAGGCAGGAGAATTGCCTGAGCCCAGGAGGCGGAGGTTGTGGTGAGCCAAGATCGCGCCATTGCACTCCAGCCTGGGTAACAAGAGCAAAACTCTGTCTCAAAAAAAAAAAAAAAAAAAAAAGGTCAGAATTTAAATTTCAGGCTTTCCAAAATTGGCTATACCACAGAAAGAGACGGAAAGGAGAGGAGAGAGAGAGAGAAAAGAGAGGAGAGGGCCGGGCACGGTGGCTCGAGCCTGTAATCCCAGCACTTTGGGAGGCCGAGGCGGGTGGATCACGAGGTCAAGAGATCGAGACCATCCTGGTCAACATGGTGAAACCCCGTCTCTACTAAAAATACAAAAGATTAGCTGGGCATGGTGGCGTGTGCCTGTAATCCCAGCTACTCAGGAGGCTGAGGCAGGAGAATTGCCTGAACCCAGGAGGCGGAGGTTGCGGTGAGCCAAGATCGCGCCATTGCACTCCAGCCTGGGTAACAAGAGCGAAACTCCGTCTCAAAAAAAAAAAAAAAAACCCTGCAGACTTTGAGATACCGGGTCTCAGCTAAAAAGGCCCAACTCTGCCAGCCGAAAGTTACTTACCTGGGCTATATCGTAGAGAAAGGCAACCGGGCACTGGCACCCAGCCGAGTCCAAGCAGTGCTGCAAATACCCTCACCACAAAACGTCAAGTTTAAAAATTCCTTGGGGCAGTAAGGTACTGAAGACTGTGGACAGAGGTAGAGTGACGGGCTTTTGACAAGCTCAAGACAACCTTGCCAGACATCTCTAAACCTTTCCAGTTGTTTGTACATGAAAAACAGGGAGTCACTAAGGGGGTGCTCACCCAAACTCTGGGACCCTGGTCCTGGCCAGCCGCCTACCTCTCTAAAAGACTTGATCCTGTAGCCTCCGGATGGCCGGCTTGCCTAAGAGCAGTGGTGGCCACAGCCCTATTAGTCAAAGAGGCAGACAAGCTGACTTTGGGACAGAAGTCAAACTTAGTGGCACCCCACGTGGTGAAGTCACTACTCCGTGGAGCTCCAGGAAAATGGATGTCTAATGCCCACATAGTCCAATACCAGGCCTTACTTTTAGACCAGCCCCGCATAAAATTTTCAAAAACTATAGTTTTAAACCCTGCCATATTGCTGCCTGACAGTGAGCCAGAAAAGCCCGTACATGACTGCCAACAGACAATAGATGACCTCCACGCTGCATGACCAGATCTCACCAACGTCCCCCTGCGGAACCCAGAGGAGGTACTGTGTACAGATGGCAGCAGTTTCATGGTCGACGGAGTCAGGTACGCCGGGGCAACTGTGGTCACCCTAGAGGGGGTTATCTGGGCCCAGGCTCTTACATATGAAACCTCAGCCCAAAAGACAGAACTCATAGCTCTGATAAAAGCCTTGGACTGGGCGGAGGGAAAAACCGTCAACATCTACACTGATAGCCAATATGCCTTTGCTATGGCCCATGTACATGAAGCCATTTAAAGAAAGAGGGCTACTTACCTCCGAGAAAAAAAATCATCAAAAACAAAGAAAATCCTAGCCCTACTAAAAGCTATATGGAAGCCTAAGACAGTAGCATTGATACACTGCAAAGGACACCAGAAGGAAAATTCATGAGAGACAAGGGGAAGTAGGGCAGCTGACTTACAAGCCAGACAGGCAGCCTTGGGGCCAGTAAAACCTCTGACTCTTGTAACTCTGCTGGCCCCCAACCCTGCCTCCTACCTCAACATACTTGCCTGAGGAAAAATCTTTACTAAAGAATAGGGGGGACGACAAAATTCCCCAGGATGGTGGACTCTACCGGACACAAGGATTGTGCTCCCCAAGGCTCTAGGACGAGCTCTAGTTAAGGACACTCACCAGGCCACTCACTTAGGACAAACAAAACTCACTGAGCTACTAAGGGCCAGATACTACATTCCACATTTACATAAAATTATTAGGGTAACTACTTCTCAATGTGATGTATGTGCTAGGCTAAACACAGAAGGCTTGAGCCTTCTAAACTTGTTGTCCTCCACACACCACCTGCTCAACCAGACAAACCCAGGCCTAGGTAAAGATTGCTGGCTATGCTTAAATCCACAGCCACCGTTTTACATAGGCCTAGCAGCACAACCTGATATAGCCCCCTCAAGTACTGAAATGCAGTTCCATATAACCCTAGGGGATCTAGAAGGAGAAGGCAGATGTTTCCATTCCCCTAACTATAATCTCACTAGCTCCCCATACCGAGGTTATTGTAAAAACACCTTTATTTTGAGTTATAATCGGACAGGTTTTTACTACACTGCCCCAGACTCCGCTTGGTTAGCCTGCACTTTTGGCCTCACCAGCTGCATTTCCACCTACCAGTTCAGCAACTCCTCCAGACCCATTCTTTGCAGCCCCATGTATATATTGCCCAGGGTAAACGTGTACAGCAGACCCCAGGGTAAAATTCTCATAGTGCCCGATACTGACAACGTTGGAAACGGTCCCCCATAATTATACCCCTATTAGTGGGACTTGGAATGGCAGGGTCCACAGCTATGGGAATATCTGCCTTAGTCATTAGAGACCAAAATTTTAAAACTGTCCCACCAAATAGATGCAGATATTACCCATCTGGAAAATTCCATCACCAAATTAGCTAAACAAGTGAACTCGTTAGCTGAGATGGTACTACAAAATAGAAGGGGGTTAGACCTGTTGTTCTTGAAGGAAAGAGGACTGTGCACGGCTCTCAGCGAAGAATGTTGCTTCTATACAAATAATTCTGGAATCATCCAAAACAGCCTTGCAATGGTTAAACAAAACATAGAAACAAGAAGGCACCTTAGAGAAATCTCAGAAACTTGGTACCAAAAACTGTTCTCTTGGTCCCCCTGGCCAACATCGCTACTCACTGGATTAGCAAAACCTTTGGTCCTAATAGTCCTAGGGTTAACATTTGGACCATGCCTTTTATACTGTGCTCCTCAAATTTATCCAGGAAAGAATAGACTCGGTTAAGTTAATGGTTCTGAGATCCAACTATGGGCCCTTGTGCCAAGAAGAGGAAACCTATTAAAGATTTAATACATGTTAAAAGAACGGGGGAAATTTGGTGGCCTAGAATTAGAGCCTAAACAACACCATTGTATAAAAGAAAAAGCTGATTTTCAAAAATAAGTTGTAAAGGCTGCCCCATTCTCTTCACAATAACTGCGGGCCTTGGCCCCTGTAAATACAGCTGCTAGTTTACTTTGCAGGATGCCAAGCCACTTATCAGAAACTGCCAGAGTTGCTAGCCTTTTGCTTATCAGTGATGACCAGAATAAGCATCCCCATCTAATTCCATCCTGGCTCCTGCGACTTGTAATAAGTAACTGAGGTACTGAGACAATGTAAAAACTAATGTTTATCTTGACTTCTGTAAACCACTTAAGTGACAATCGAAATGACAAAAGTCCCCTGGCCTGCGGGAATGTCCAGATCTCCCTTCTCCGCCCAGGAGGTAATTTACAGAATCCACAAGCCCTGGGAATGTCTGAAGCCCTTCGCCTCATCCCCGCTCCTTACCTCCACTCCCAAGGTGGCTTTTCGGGTATAAAAAGTATTGGCATCCTTCTTCTGATGCCACGGGTTGGAGAGACGCGAGTCCTCTGTGGCTGCCGGCAAATAAACCCTGTAATTTGGCATACTTTTGTCTTGGTGTTGACTTTCTATGCTCGGTCCAGTACAACAAGATGAATGATCCATATTGCCTTCACACACACTGCTTTCACATGATTTGACTATCCAGTAAAAGTCTTCTTTAAGGCTGAAGATTTCTTCACACTGACCACCTTCTTTACTTTCACCGACTCTACCATATTACTTCTGTGAACAATAAGAAGCACAATACAAAGGATTGGTTTATAAATGATTTTATATTCATTAGTAGGTATTCGATTTACATATTTTACATTATGATGGAAAGTGTCGGCTTTCTGGCCTGTCTGAACTGATTAAATGTCAAATGTCAATGGACTGAATAATCTGCAAAAGGAACACATTACACTTACTATCAAAACACTGATGTTCATAACCGATTTCTTTTTTTTTTTCTTTTTTTGAGATAGAGTTTCACTGTTGTTGTCCAGGCTGGAGTGCAATGGCACACTCTCAGCTCACCACAACCTCAGCGTCTGGAGTAGCTGGGATTACAAGCATGTACCACCACGCCTGGCTAATTTTGTATTTTTAGTAGAGACGGGGTTTCTCCATGTTGGTCAGGCTGATCTTGAACTCCCGACCTCAGGTGATCTGCCTGCCTTGGCCTCCCAAAGTGCTGGGATTACAGACATGCACCACTGCACCTGGCCCATAACCGATTTCTTAACACTGGCTCCAAGGCAACTATTTTGAAAACACTGGATATTTATGTTTATATGTTGTTGTTGTTTTTTTTTTTTTTGGAAAAATATTTTTCAGGATGGAGCTTTGCTCTTGTTGCCCAAGCTTGAGTGCAATGGTGCAATCTCAGCTCACTGCAACCTCCGCCTCCTGGGTTCAAGCAATTCTCCTGCCTCAGCCTCCTGAGTAGCTGGGATTATAGGCATGTGCCATCACCCCTGGCTAATTTTGTGTTTTCAGTAGAGATGGGGTTTCCATGTTTGTCAGGCCAGTCTCAGACTCCTGACCTTGTGATTCACCCGCCTTGGCCTCCCAAAATGCTGCAAATACAGGCATGAGCCACCTAATTAGTGTCCAGCCTGATTTTCTTTTTTTTGAGATAGGGTCTCACTCTGTCACCCAGGCTGAAGTGCAGGGGCATATTCACAAGTCGTCACTGCCTTGACCTCCTGGGTTCAAGCCATCCTCCCACCTTAACCTCTCTAGTAGCTGGGACCTCAGACGGATGCCACCACGCCTGGCTAACTTATGTATTTTTGTACAGATGGGGTTTCACCAGGTTGCCCAGGCTGGTCTTGAACTCCTGGGCTCAAGCAGTCTGCTTCCCTTGACCTCCCAAAGTGCTGGGATTACGCTTTGGTTCACATGGTGGGAGTTGCCATGCCCAGCCTGGAAAAAGTTTTCTACAAATTAATGAATTGGAAGCTGGGCTGCGTCATTTTCTTTGCTTGCTTTTAAAATTTTCTATTATTCTAACAGTATCTTAAGGGACATAGCTCTATGCTGTAAGTGCATACCTTAGATTTCTTCTGGAATTACTGTTCTGATCTTCAATGGTCTGGTCTTCACATTTTATCCCTAAAATGTAGACTACAAAAGTCATCATAAGTTATTACAAAATTATAGAAAAATTATTAGGTTCTATGTTCATGGGACACTGTGGCCATGGCTGACTTACTCACCAAAGTTCAGTTGACCCTGACCAACATGAGTTTGAAATACACAGTCCACTCATATGCAAATTTTTATCAGCTTTTGCCATCCCTAAGAGAGCAAGACCAAGCCCTCCTTTTGCTCAGGCTACTCAATGTGAAGCCAACAAGGAAGAACACCTTTGTCATAATCCACTTTGATTTAATACAAACAACACAGCTTCTCTTCTAATATTTTTGATAACCTTTTCAGAAGAATACTTACTACTACGCATTACTTAATACTTATTATTGTAAGAATGCAGTCTATAATATGCCAAACAGGCTCAGCATGGTGTCTCATGCCTGTAATCACAGCACTTTGGGATGTGAGGGAGGCAGAATGCTTGAGGCAAGGAGTTCAAGACCCTCCACCATACAAAAAAATTACACAAAAATTAGCTGGGGATGGTGGCACTCGCCTGTAGACTGAGCAAGTCTATGTCTAAGAGACCCTGTCTTAAACATATGTAACACACACACACACACACACACACCCCCTTTTTTTTTTTTTGACACGGAGTCTCTGTTGCCAAGGCTGGAGTGCAGTGGCATGATCTTGGCTCACTGCAACCTCTGCCTCCCAAGTTCAAGTGATTCTCCTGCCTCAGCTAATTTTTGTATCTCTCTTTTTTTTTTTTTTTTTTGAGATGGAGCCTCTTTCACCCAGGCTAGAGTGCAGTGGTGCAATCTCAGCTCACTGCAAACTCCACCTCCCGGGTTCAAGTGATCCTCTTGCCTCAGCCTCCCAAGTAGCTGGGATTACACTACAGGTGCACACCACTACACTCAGCTAATTTTTGTATTTTTAGTAGAGTTGGGGTTTCACCATGTTGGCCAGGCTAGTCTTGAACTCCTGACCTCAAGTGATTTGCCTGCCTCAGCCTTCCAAAGTGCTGGGATTATAGACAGGAGCCACCGCGCCCAGCCATACACACATTTATCATTTACTATTTATTACTATTTTTATTTATTTTTTTATTTTTTTTGAGACAGAGTTTCGCTCTTGTTACCCAGGCTGGAGTGCAACGGCGCAATCTTGGCTCACCGCAACCTCCGCCTCCTGGGTTCAGGCAATTCTCCTGCCTCAGCCTCCTGAGTAGCTGGGATTACAGGCACGCGCCACCACGCCCAGCTAATTTTTTGTATTTTTAGTAGAGACGGGGTTTCACCATGTTGACCAGGATGGTCTCGATCTCTCGACCTCGTGATCCACCCTCCTCGGCCTCCCAAAGTGCTGGGATTACGGGCTTGAGCTACCGCGCCCGGCTTTTATTTTTTTTGGACAGGGACTCACTCTGTTTCCCAGGCTAAAGTGTAGTGGTGCAATCATGGTTCACTGCAAGCTCAACGTCCCAGATTCAAGCAAACCTACTGCCTCAGCCTTCTGAATAGCTATGAACACAGGTGTGCCACCATGCCTGGCTAATTTTTTTTTTTTGAGACGGAGTTTCGCTCTTGTTACCCACACTGGAGTGCAATGGTGCGATCTCGGCTCACCGCAACCTCCGCCTCCTGGGTTCAGGCAATTCTCCTGCCTCAGCCTCCTGAGTAGCTGGGATTACAGGCATGCGCCACCATGCCCATCTAATTTTTAGTATTTTTAGTAGAGACGGGGTTTCACCATGTTGACCAGGATGGTCTCGATCTCTTGACCTCATGATCCACCCGCCTCGGCCTCCCAAAGTGCTGGGATTACAGGCTTGAGCCACCGCGCCCGGCCCCTGGCTAATTTTTTAATTGTTTTATACAGACAGGTATCACTCCATTGCTACAGCCGGTCTCAAAATCCTGGGCTCAAGTAATCCTCCTGGCTTAGCCTCCCAAAGTACTATAATTATAGGTGTGAGCCACCACCTGACCATATATATGTAGACAGATATATGCCAAACATACAAAATATATGTTGACTGTTTCTGTTATCAATAAAGTTCTGGTCAACAGTAGTCTATTAGTAGTTAACTTTTTATGGACTCTAAATTTACAGGCATCTGATTGACTGTACAATCAGAATCTCTAACCTGCACCTTGTTCAAGGATCTATTGTATTCCCTACCATGTTCTAAATCATTGAGCAGTAAAGATGACCAAGAAACACTTGTGCCGGGTGCGGTGGCCTGCAATCCCAGCACTTTGGGAGGCCGAGGGGGGTAGATCACGAGGTTGAGAGATCGAGACCATCCAGGTCAACATGGTGAAACCCCATCTCTACTAAAAATACAAAAAATTAGCTGGGCATGGTGGCACGTGCCTGTAATCCCAGCTACTTGGGAGGCTGAGGCAGGAGAATTGCCTGAACCCAGAAGGCGGAGGTTGCAGTGAGCTAAGATCACGCCGTTGCACTCCAGCCTGGGTAACAAGAGCGAAACTCCGTCTCAAAAAAAAAAAAAAAGTAAACACTTGTTCTCTAAAGTGAAGAAATGTCATCCTTACCTACAGACATCAGGTTCCTGATGATTTCCCATGTCACATCTGTAGAGATTCTTCTGGGAAGATCCAACAAAGCCCACTCCTCCTGGGTGAAGTTTATAGCCACATCCTCAAAGGTCACTAAGTCCTGAAACATCCCATATGTTCACAGGAGGAAGGTTAAGACTGGCTGGCAGCATTAGGAATCTATACTCTTGAAGTTCACATGATACTGTAGACTCCAAAATTTTATTCAATGACTTGGTCAGACTCTTGTCTACACTCACTTTCTCTATCACAGCAATTCTCATGCTAGAATTTAATATATTCAGTAAAGTAACAGCCAACAGGGACATACCTTTCATTGGTGATTTCAGAGACTGAGATAAGATACCTGGGTCACGTCTAGTGTCTCTCTGTATACTGGGTCAGTACTACTTCTCATGAGAAAGTCCCAAACATACAGTCTGTAAGACAGTATTAGCAGTTCTGAGACTGCATATTCTTACACATGTTTATTTAGAAAGTTGAACTTTTCATGGTATCTAGGAGCTAGATTTAGGAAGACCTGCACCAACATAACCAATACATGGGGTTGTGTATGCCTTAACTAATTATGCAGAGAATATGGTATTTGCCTAATTCCCATTTTCCTTCTGACAGTTTGGTATTTTCAGCAGAAGGAATTCGGTATTTTCAGCAGAAGCAGTGTACCTAATAAGTCCCTGCTAAGTTTGAATAATTTCCCCTTCCAAACTCTTTTTTTTTTTTTTTTTTTTTTTGAGACGGAGTTTCACCCGTGTTACCCAGGCTGGAGTGCAATGGCGCGATCTCAGCTGACCACAACCTCCGCCTCCTGGGTTCAGGCAATTCTCCTGTCTCAGCCTCCTGAGTAGCTGGGATTACAGGCACGCACAATCATGCCCAGCTAATTTTTTTGTATTTTTAGTAGAGACGGGGTTTCACCTTGTTGACCAGGATGGTCTCGATCTCTTGACCTTGTGATCCACCCGCCTCGGCCTCCCAAAGTGCTGGGATTACAGGCTTGAGCCACCGCGCCCAGCCCAAACTCTTAATGAAATTTAATTCCTAATGTGTCAGTACTGAAAGTGGGGCCTTTATGAGGTAATTGGGTCATGATGGCTCTGCCTCATGAATAGATCAGTCCACTGCTGAATTGAAGAGGTAGTGGATAATGGGTTAGCCTACAAATAAGATCTGTGGCCTTGTAAGAAGAGATAGAGACTAGCGAGGTGTGGTCTCTATCTCTTGGAGTCCATAAATCCCAGCACTTAGGGAAGCTGAGGCAGGCGGATCACCTGAGGTTGCAAGTTCAAGACCAGCCTCACCAACATGGAGAAACCCCGTCTCTACTAAAAATACAAAAATTAGCCAGCCATGGTGGTACATGCCTGTAATCCCAGCTATGTGGGAGGCTGAGGCAGAATTGCTTGAACACAGGAGGTGGAGATTGCGGTAAGCTGAGGTCACACCATTGCACTCCAGCCTTGGAAAGAAGAGTAAAACTCCATCTCAAAACAAAAAAAAAAAAAACGACCAAAGTTAGCACGATCAGCCCCCTTGCCTAGTGATCTCCGTTGCCTCAGATAGTAAAGAGCAAGAAGCTTTCACCAGATGCATCCCCTTTGCCCTTGGATTTCCAAATTTTGAGAATTGTACAAAATATTTTTTAATATATTAACCAAAATTCAGGTTTTGTTTTTTGAGACAGAGCCTTGCTCTGTTGCACAGGATGCAGTGGGGTGATGTTGGCTCACTCCAGCCCTGACCTTCTGGTTCAAATAATTCTTATGCCTCAGCCTCCCACCTATCTGAGATTACAAGCATGCACCACTATGCCCGACTTTGTTTTTGTATTTTAGTAGCAAATGGTTTAGTAGAGCATGGTTTCACCACGCTAAATTTCAGGTATGCTATTACAACTAACAGAAAACAGATAGAACCATGAACAAACATTCTGGGCACAGAGTCTGTAATGAGTAACCCGGGCAGATAACATTTCACACGTTTCACCACCATGTGTTATTTGGGGGCATAGTCCATCCTGTGTGATTACAACAGAACATCTGTGCAAGAGGTCCTGAAGGGAGTGCTAAATATGGAAAGAAAAGACCATTACCAGCCACTACAAAAGCATATAGACCAGTGACACTAAACCACACAAACAAGTCTGCATAAAAACCAGCTAACAACATCCTAGGATCAAATCACATAAATACCAACCTTGAATGTAAGAAGCAGGCTAAATGCCGCAATTAAAAGGCACAGTGGAGGGATACCCCCCAGGGATACCATCCGGGAACTCCCAAGATGGAAAAAAAAAAAAAAAAAAGGCACAGTGGCTCACACCTGTAATCACAGCACTTTGGGAGGCTGAGGCAGGTGGATCAAAAGGTCAAGAGATCAAGACCATACAGGCCAACATGGTGAAACCCTGTCTCTACTAAAAATACAAAAATTAGCTGGGTATGGTGGTGCGTGCTTGTAGTCCCAGCTACTTGGGAGGCTGAGGCAGGAGAATCGCTTGAACCCAGGAGGTGAAGGTTGCAGTGAGCCGAGATCGTGCCCCTGTACTCCAGCCTGGCAACAGAGCGAGACTCTTGTCTCAGAAAAAAAAAGCAAGATCCAATGATAGGCTGTTTTCAAGACACCCACCCATCTCAGATGCAATGACACCCTGAGGCTCAAAGCAAAGGGAAGGAGAAAAATCCACCAGCAAACAAAAAAGAAGAAGGCTATAATTTGGATTTGTATCCCCACCCAAATCTCATATCGAATTGTAATTCCCCATATTGGAAGTGGGGCCTGGTGGAAGGTGATTGGGTGGTGGGGTGGTCCTTCATGAATAATTTAACACCATCCCTGTGGTGTTGTTTTTGTGATAGTAAGTTCTTGTGAGAACTGGTCATTTAAAAGTCTGTGGCACCTTGACTTGCTCTCTCCTGCTCCTCCTCTGGCCATGTGAAGTGGTGCTCCCCCTTCACCTTCTGCCATGATTGTCAGTTTCCTGAGACATTCCCAGAAGCAAATCAGATGCCATGCTTCCTGTACCATGCTTCATGTATGGTCTGCAGAATCACAGGCCAATTCACCCTCTTTTCTTTATAAATTACCCAGTCTCAGGTATTTATCACACTGCAAGAATGGAGTAATACAAGAAAATTCATACTGATAAGTGGGGCATTACTATAAAGATACCTGAAACTGGAATTGGCTTTGGAACTTCTTATTAGGCAGAGATTGGAAGAGTCGGGGAGGCTCAGAAGATGACAGGAAGATGAGGGAGTTTGGGACTTTCTAGAGGCTTGCTGAATGGTTGTAGCCAAGATGCTGATAGTGATATAGACAATAAAGTTTGGGCTGAGGAGGTCTCATATGGAAATAACAAACTTATTGGGAACTGAGGTAGAGGTCACTTTTGTTTTGCCTTAGCAAAGAGCGTGGCTGAGACAGAGTCTCACTCTGTCCCCAGGCTGGAGTGCAGTGGCACAATCTCAGCTCACTGCAGCCTCTGCCTTCTGGGTTTCAGCAGTTCTCCTGCCTCAGTCTCTTGGGTAGCTGGGATTACAGGGATGCACCATCATGCCCAGCTAATTTTTGTATTTTTAGTAGAGACAGGGTTTCACTATGTTGGCCAGGCTAGTCTTGAACTCCGGACCTCAGGTGATCCACCTGCCTTGGCCTCCTGAAGTGCTGGGATTATAAACGTGAGCCACCATGCCCAACTGGGATCTGTGGAACTTCTGAACTTAAGAATGATGACTTAGGGTATCTGGTGGAAGAAACTGCAAAGCAGCAAAGCATTCAAGGTGTGCCCTGGCTGCTTTTAACAGCCTATGCTGAAAGAAATGCCACAAAACTGGAACTTATATTTAAAGGGGAAGCAGAGTAAAAAGTTTAGAAAATTTGTAGCCTGGCCATGTGGTAGAAAAGAAGAACACATTTTTAGGGAAGGAATCAGGCAGGCTGTAGAAATTTGCATAAGCAAAAAGAAGCCAACTGTTGATAGCTAAGACAATGGGGAAAAGGCCTATAAGGCATTTCAGAGATCTTCATGGAAGCCCCTCCCATCATGGGCCCAGAGGCCTAGCAGGGAAGAATGACTTGTGGGCCAGGCCCAAGATCCCACTGCCCTGCACAGCTTCAGGACATCACTACCCCAAATCCCAGCTGCTCTAGATCCAGCCTTGGCTCAAAGGGCCCCAGATACAGCTTGAGCCACTGCATCAGAGGGTGCAAGCCATAAGCCTTGGTGGATTCTATGTGGTGTTAAGCCTGCAGGTGTGCAGAATGCAAAGGTTGAGGCTTGGGAGCCTCCACCTAAATTTCAAAAGATGTATGGAAAAGCCCGGATGTCCAGGCAGAAGCCTGCTGCAGGGGTAGAGCCTTCATGGAGAACCTCTATTGGGAAAGTATGGAGGAGAAATGTGGGGTTGGAGGCCCCCCATGTTCTCAACTGGGGTATTGCCTAGTGGAACCTTGAGAAGAGGACCACTATCCTCCATACCCCAGAATGGTAAATCTGTCAAGTTAGCACCCTGCACCTGAAAAGCCACAGGTACTCAATGCTAGCCCATGATAGCAGCCATGGGACTAAACCCTCCAAAGCCATAGGGACAAAGGAAGAATTTTCTTATGTAAGAAAATAACTCTAAGGAAGAGAACTGACAATTCAACATCATTAAAATTAAGAATGAGTCCCTGTAAAATGGAGTAAAAAGATAAACCAGGCTGGGCATGGTGGCTCATGCCTGTAATCCCAGCACTTTGGGAAGCCAAAGCAGATGGATCACCTGAAGTCAGTAGTTCAAGACCAGTCTGACCAACATGGTGAAACCCTGTCTCTACTAAAAATATAAAATTAGCCAGATGTGGTGGCTCATGCCTGTAATCCCAACTACTTGGGAGGTTGAGGCAGGAGAAATGCTTGAACTCGGGAGATGGAGATTGTAGTGAGCTGAGATCATGTCATTGCACTCCAGCCTGGGCAACAAGAGTAAAATTCTGCCTTAAAAAAATAAAAAGCGGGGGATGGCTGGCAAGATGGCCAAATAGGAATAACTCTGGTCTGCAGTTCCCAGCGAGATCAATGCAGAAGGCAGGTGATTTCTGCATTTCCAA